ACATGTTCCACCAATGAAACTTTAGCCAGAAATTTCAGCCATTTTACCTTCTCACATGGTTTGTTTAAAGATATAGAAAGGTAAGTGTATCCAATATGTCATAACAAAAGCTAGGGTTTTAGAAAAGCCTAAAAATGAAATCAGATTTATGAATCAGAACTTAGTCATTTCTGTCTTTTTTCCCAACGAATCAGGAGGCGATCAGATCTGTAGGCTGGGAACCACTGGACTGAACTGTATATAAAGTGACTCAACCTCAACCGGCTGCAAACAACCAAAACGCTGCTTACACATTAATGCACCAGAATTAAATGTCTAATTGTGTCATGTATAATAATACAGTAAAAGAGGACATTTCTAATGCAGGATGAGTTCATTTACATTTGATACTTACAGCACAGGTAGCTAATTATCCTCATAAGGCCCACTGGCTCATGTATGGGCCCAGTAGAAGGTTCTGAACATGTTCAGACAGAGTAAATGCTTATATGTTTATCAATATAAACAGGCTGTACCTCCTTAGAGAGGCGTCCAGGGTGACGTGGAGATCCTGGATGAGGAGGACCGTCTCCTCTGCCCCATGTGTCCTCCTCCAACAGTGGAGCCTCCACTCCTCCCAGGAGATCCTGGAGGGAGAGAGAGAGAGAGACAGACAGGCAATTAATGTATGTGTGTGAATTTAGTACACATTCTGCTATCCCATGGGCACCCATACATTCTATTCTGCAATCTTATACATTGTTAAATTCATTCATCAATGAACAATGCCAGCAAACTAGCTGCTAATGCTAGGAAGCTAGCCCCCCCCCCACTTGTTATTGTGCAATCTTATGATGACATTGTTAAATTCATTCATTCAATGCCAACAATGCTAGCACTAATGAAAATGGGGCGGGGGGGGGGCAGCTCTACATACTGTACATGCACATAAATAATATTATTGTAATCAATATCAGTATTGTTTTTTTATTACTGCCATTATTATTGTAAAAGAAAAAAAAAAAGAAGCTATTCCTGATGATCAGTGCTAATGCAAATGCTAGCTAGCCCACCAATGAAGGAGAAAAAAAAGCTATTGCTAAGGCTAGCTGCTAATTTTAGCAAGGTAAAGCTACCCCCGTGTTCTATTTGTCCATGTTTCTTTCACCAATAAAGGAGGAAAACAAAAAAAGCTAATGCTAACTGCTAATGCTACATCGCTAGCCCCGCCCCCTCTTCTGTTCTGTCCATGTTTTTTTCACCAATAAAGAAAATTGGGAAGAAAAAAAAAAATGCTAACGAAATCGGCGGCTAGCTCGTGCCCCCAGGTGCAGCCTTGTCTGAACGACTTAGGTCCCAAGTTTCCAAACAAGTTTTTTTTTTCATTATTGTAATATTCAAGCCAAATAATCACATCCACATTGTTTTCTGATGCATTCGATATGACGACAACTTAAAAAGAATATCATTTTAACTCATATTAAAAGGTTAGACTATGATCTGTGTGGAAATGCAATGCAGATTTATTTTGCAGGTTAACAAATGTTGATTTACAACTACTGGACTTATTCGTTATGGTCACTTTACAAGCTCAGTCTCATTTTGACCCTAAGTTGAGCCTATACATGCATGGGGTGGAGTAATGTGCATGACTTACCTTTTCTTGCTTTCTGGGCACAGCGAGGTGTGGTTCTTGCCCGAGGTGGATTCTGCCATCTGGAAGTGGTTTTCTAGCATCATCATCACATTAGAGAACTAAGAATGTCCATGAAGTCTCCCTTCTCCACAACCAGATGAATGGAAACAAATGGGCTGCTCTGTACATGAGGTCCTCCTTCTGTTGGCACAGATCACTCAGTTTTCACAGTGTGGAAACCTTTCAAATGACAATAAAAGACAAACACTTGAGTTAAGATGCGGTAGATAACATTTAATCACAAATATCTATCAGCTGTCAGGATAGGTGCATGAATGTCTGCTTCAGTTGAGGACTGGTTTGAGTATTAAATGAACAATCTTCTATATGACATATTTTTCTACACATTTTTACGTTCACGTTATCTTAACTTGAACTATCAGGAAGTCTTGATGGACAATGTATTAACTTACATTAACGCTGCGCATTTCACTAACGCAGATCACTTAAACTGGGTCACATGTGAAGAAACACAAACCAAACGTCGTTAAATTAACGTCCATTAAATTCACCTTTTTATTGGGTTTTGACTGAACACCACCACGGGCTAACCCAGGTTGACACAGGTTATCAGCCCAGCGGGGCCAGGTACCATTAGCATAACAATCGATAAGTTGTCAGCTAACGTTAGCACAGGCTGGCTAGCTTGGTTAGCAAGGTGCATCTTCACCTGAACTGTGATATAAACAGGGATGCTAATTTTGGCTAGCAAAGAAATAGGCTTAAAACAAAATGGATTTACCAAATTAAAATTCACTGAAGAAAAGTGTTACTGGGTAGATGAAAAATTACTTATAGTGTCATATCAGTGAATCCAGTCATTACGCTGCTAATATATCGGCTAATATATAGATTAAAAAAACAATTACGTTCGAGAACAAAGGCTGACCAGTGACCAATAACTGCCGCGCAAAATCACAAAATCAAAATATCTTGATGTGTGAAAAGAAAGACTCACCTTTATATCGTCAATTATTCAGTTTTCCTACTAACTTTTCCGTACCGTGTTTGCATCAACCTAGCAAGCGTCCTCGTTCCCGAGACATAGCTCGACCGCGCGGAGATTGCGCGTACACAGCTCTGACGTCATCCAGACGTCATTTTGTTGTCTTTGGATCATTTTTACACAGATTAACAGTCCATGGCTTAAAAATAAACAATACAAAGATTAATAATTGACTGTGTTTACAGCCGGAGGTGTCCAGTCAACTGTTTTACAGGCGTCTCTTTTACTTTTGTGGTCTATGGGAAAAATGCTTTTTGGGCCGCAGGGGATTTTTCGCTGCAATATCGCGAGTGGCCACTGGGAAAAATTGGCTGCAAGGCAGAGCGGTGGCACCGTATCCAGCTCTTATGATACATCCATGCTTCAAAACGGCAGTTCACAAACCAATGGGTGACGTCACGGCAGTTTGCCACTTGAGCATAAGACGTAATGACGTGTTCTCTCCCTCGGAAAAAGCCTATTTCATCCACAATTTTTTTAACGACTCAACTTCTAGATAGATGTCTCCCCTGACCAATCAGAGCAAACTAGGGGGGCGGGCACTTCAGAGGCAGGGCCAATAGGCTGTGGTATATCTAACTAACAGATCAGCTCTGTTTTAATGCTTCCAAAAGGTTTCTTAGGCATCAAAATGCTTCATGTTTTCTATTATTTCATATTAAAGCGTTAAAGCACATTTCTCCCAGTTTTCCTTTTAGAGAGGTTCATGGGCGCCAGTGATAGAGTGAACTATAAAGGCCTATTAAACTAAACTATTAGGCCTAGAGGCTTTGAAGCTTCACAGAGCAGCTTTTGACAAGATGTAGAAGTACTGTGGAGCTTTTTCATTGTTCTTGTATAAAGTATATCCTGTTGGCAGTTATGTAACATGTAGACAATGACTTTTTTACAGGTGAGGACTGAAAAAGACAAAAAAAAAAACATGTTTGATCTGATGAAGTAAAGTTTGGTTTGTAGTCACATGCAAATGCACATTTTCAGAAACTACAATATGTTTCCTTTCAAATGAGGCCTCATTTGCATTTTGGCCTTACAGTTCTTATATTATAAGCTTATTACATTTACATATGCAAATGATGCAAATTGGGTTTAAAACAGGTGGGCTCAAAGAGGATATATGTTTGTGCTTGTACGCAAGTATTTACTTGTGATTAATGCTTTGTTTCTTCTACCACTGGTCGTTTGTGTGTGTCAGTGCTTGTATGTATTTGACCTTTCCCATACAGTACATGGACAGGACATTTATTTTTCCGCTGGTGTGTTATTTATTAATATGTTATGTTGCCAAATATCTAAAATGAGTGTCATTATTCTTGTCTGCATCGTCCTCTGCAGCTCATATTCTTGTGGATGAAAATGTACAATGCGATTTTTTATTTTCTCCCATTTCACACAAACATGCCCTTTGTAATTCTGTGACTTGTGTTACTTCTGTTTGCTGTGTAATACATCACAGACATTTCTTTTACTTTATAAATCATTTATTGAAATATAAATCATCTGAATGTACAATGATGTAAAATAATGAAACATGGTATTAAATCATCATATTGGGTGTGATTACCTATAATTACAGATACTGTACCGTCAACAAAACATCACTTATCTGCGGCACAAACATTCACATCCACGCTGCTTCAAACATCTAAAGCCATGAGCATGACTTTCCTCCTTTTTTTAAATTTTTTTTTCTCTCCGCCCGACTTACTCGTCTGCAACATCCAAAACATAAAGGAAAAAGGAAAAGTGCACCAATGATTGCAGATTATATCACAGTCAACAGACAAGAGGCAGTGGCATAGCTGGTACAGTAGCTGGAAGATACGGAGGATTACAAAGAGTCTACACACAACTGATGTATGACATCAGATCAACATGAATCTCTAGTTCATCTAGTGTCTTAGTGTAACTAGAACCTGCTAACAGACTTCAGGACAATAGATAAAATATGAGACTGGAGGACATAACCTGCTGCTAGAACATTTCAATCTTTTTTTGGGCCACACTATCAACTTCAACTTTATTATTATTGTCCCGAAGGAAATTTGGTTTGAATCATGGTTTATCTCATGGTTTATCTTTTATCTCTTTTATTTTATGCTTTCCAATTGGATAAACTGACTATTACTACCATGTCATACATTACACACATGAGAAAATATGAATATTTCTCATGCAGCTTTCAAATATTGTCAAATGTGTGGAAAATGTGTTATATTTCCTTTGTTATAATTGTCTTCACCGGGGCAGATAAGGGTGCAGAAGCTTAATATGTGCTTATATAAAATACTTGAGTGTTATCCCAATAATTCTCTCTTATAAAAAAAAAAAAAACTCTGGCGCTATTTACAAGTACAATCATTCTTCACTTTGTTTATCCAAGCCCACATGACAGGCGTGAAATCTGAGAACATCAGGTTGGATTTTGGGGCAAAAGGTGAAACAGACTGCAAAGATACATGCAACTCAAAAAACTCTATCATCATAACCATTCAGACAGCTATGGTCATTATCTACTTGGTATTCACAAATAATACATGTTTACATACTGATGAAGTAAAAAAATAAATTTGAATTACTGCACGTATTTAACCACTGAAAACATTATATGGTCATATACAAAAAAAAATGCACATAGTCCAGATTTTTGTGCTTTTAAATCCATGTATTGCTACTGATTGTGCCAGCATCAGGTGCTTCTCTCGCAGCAGGTGAGTGTGGGGTGGGTGGGTTTACCTGCCAATGCAGTTGCTAGTATTGGACTCCTCTAGTTTAAATAGTGCATCTGTAGTGGTTAAATATATATCATATGACTGAGTATGAATATCCTGGTGTGTGTTGGTTTGGAGTTGCTGACCGACGTGCTTGATTTGTCCCTTCTTGCTTATATTGCTGTTAAAATGCCCGATAGAATAAAGCCCTGCAAATTCAAAAGACAATCTCTTTATCTGTTCCATCTTGTTACATCCAACTCACAGGCTCAGTGGCTGTGGTTCTTTTGAGTCCTCGATGTCACGATCTCGTCAATGCTCACTCACTCCTCCGGCCCAGCAGGGGGCCCCATCCAGGGAGAAGTTGAAGGGCGTACCGTACTATCACCACAGACTCATTCAGACAGTGAAGTGGTTTTGGTTCTGTCCTCTGAAAGGGCGACTGGGGTTACAGGGGTAGACAGCAGAGTCTTTGGCGGATGTACAAGTCTTTCTGTAGTTCCTCATGTCCTTACACCCCTTGTCCTTGCTGTTCCCGCTCTACAGGCTGGGCAGTTGTCACAGAAAGCTGTCCTCTACCAGGTCACTACAGTCCAGACACATCTCATCCAGCAGCGTGATGTCCTCCAGGGTCTCACCCTCACGTTTAGCAAACGTGGAGCTGCTGGAGCCTGTCTCGATGGCGCTCTCCTCAGACGTCTGAGAGCTGCAGAGTGCGTGAATGACACAGGTTAGTGCCATCTCTGGTGCAGTGTAGACAGTCAAATGTAGTAGAAGTTAACTGTTTGCTCCATTTACCTGTGTCTGTTCCTCTTTCCATATTCATCATCAGATATTGGGTCCAGGTCTGGGAGGGGGATAATGTAGCCGCTGTCGGAGCTCAGCCGCTGCTCGTCAAAGCCGCTCTCTCTGTCCTTCAGCTTGCCCTGGTTCTTGTAAGCGATGCCGATGTAGGCGTCATTTTCCATGCACACCCGAGTCACAGCGGGGTGGTCGCTCTTCAGGAACTCGTGGTTTACCCTCTCGTAATGCTGCACAAGACACACAGACAGATGTTAGATTTAAACGCTGTCAAACATTTATCTTGCAGCACAGAAGCAATGATGATACAATACAGAGTTTGAGTGTAATAAAGCTCCGCAGAACCACAGGAGAAGTGTGGTATGAGTGTGATCACTAGTTGTGCTGCCAGATGGATGGTGCGATCCAAAAAAAAAAAAATCACACATCCCCTCCAGCCAGAGGTGCTAAAACAAGAGCTGGTTCCTCCTCTGCCCCCGGCCATTAAAGCTCTGTGAAGGCGGCAGAGGTGAAGCTGTTTTGATGTGCCATGTGTGGTGTGGAGTTTAATGGGGTAATTAAGGTTGGGTGGTGGTGGTGGCGAGAACTGGAGCTGCGTCATTACCCAGACTCGGGCCAGCCACCATGACAAGCAGCTGCTGCGTTTGCACTGTAATCACTTGTAGGTTTGTGTTTTACAGAAGCACAGAGCGCCCGCAGAAACACAACCTCAGAGGAAGCGGATGGGGCGCTACGTTAAGAGTGCATTTAACTTATACTGTGCTTGTGCACGATTAAAAACAAAAGCATGAGACACCTAAGAAAAAAGTCCATCAGCAGAAGATACCAAAATAAAGAGAGGAACAGAATGTGCAGGTCCAACCGTGAGGTGAAGAAGGAGAGGCGGTAAATTAGAGAATCTCAGGCAGTCTGAGGTTGTGAGCGGTCACAAGGAGACTCACCCTCTTGTAGCTGGAGGGCAGCAAAGAAGCCACGGTTTCACTCAGACCCAGGAAAGAAGGCCTCTTCTCCGGCTCGCTGTTCCAGCACTTCATCATCATCTCATACCTGAAAAAGCAAAAACAACCGACGTTACCACGGAGAGCAGCACAACCTGTACTGCACCTTGTAATTTTGCCAATGGCTTGTCATCCCACTGTATATCAACGCTCAGAAACACACTGTTCTCTGGGTTCACAGCCCACTGCATTCCTCATCTGTCAGAGGAACTTTATGTCACACAGTCATCATGTGAGTGATAACGTACACGTCATGAGGTGCGTGTTCGGGTTTGGACATCCTGTATCCGCTCTTGATCTTGTTGTAGAAGCTCGAATCCACGACCATCCCTGGGTACGGGGTTCCACCTTCAGACCAGAATACGGGCTCATGAGTTTACAAAGCAACACCAGCCTCCATTTTGTCTTTTCTTTCACACACGTTTGTTGGTGCTCACCTAAGGAGAAGATCTCCCAGAGGAGGATGCCGTAGGACCAGACGTCGCTCAGGGTGGTGTACAGGTTGTCAAAAATACTCTCTGGTGCCATCCACTTCACTGGCAGAAAAGTCTGTGATGACAGAGAGGACATGTTTGTACCCACTGTGGAGAAGCTACACATAAAACTCCACTTGACATATAAAGTCAGGGCGGTCAACTATTTCTACAGGATGAAAGGGAACCCAGTGCAGTGCAGACAGGTGCTTCAATGAACTCAGGTGTTGGGTACACATTGATTTTAATATTGTTCAATGAGCCAACAGGTAAAACTCCTGAATTACTAATGTTAAAGGTAAAAGACTAAACCACCACATCAAATGAAATAATAAACTCTATATTTATGTCAAAATGTTTCTCTGCAACAACTAATCCTCCATTGTCTCACTGCTCATGACTGAGCTCCAGTGTTTGCTAACATTAGGTCATATATGACATTTTATATTGGTAAGGAAATGACTCTGGAAATGAGAGGGCATGCTATCAGCTAGCTAACATTAGTTAGCTAAACTGTACTTTAAGGCTAAAATTAGAAACTAGCTAACATTAGTTAGCTAAACTGTAATTCAAGGCTAAAATTAGAAACTAGCTAACATTAATTAGCTAAACTGTAATTTAAAGCTGAAGTTAGAAACTAGCTAACATTAGTTAGCTAAACTGTAATTCAGGGCTAAAATTAGAAACTAGCTAACATTAGCGTTCATCCATAGACACTTGACACAATCTACTTCAGAAACTGTTTAGTTTAGAAAGAATATCAAACGAGCTAGATAATTAGCGAGTGTGGCAGACAGACCAGACGTTACGGTCCACTTTAGCGTCAAAAGACTCTTTCAGGTATGAATATGGGAAATATATTGTAGTATTTTTACAACTACAGGTAAGAAGATTATATAAATGTATAGAAATATCGGACTCCCCCAATCCCCAACATAATTCGAACCCTGTGTAAAGTAATGTATGAACAGAGACTTACGCTCCCTTTGGAGACATAGTTGTTGTCATGCATGATGTCTCTGGCCAGTCCGAAGTCACAGATCTTCACTATCTTGCCCTGAGAGAGGAGCACATTCCTGGCTGCGAGGTCCCGGTGCACACACTGCACAAAAAGACACATTGCATCATGCACAACTGTTCCATCCATTCCCAAACCGACACATTCTGCTTCCCACAGCCGCCGACTGCATCTATTTCTGTGCATATTTCATTCCAGCTGAGTTCATTTTTAATGCCGGTTCATATTGCTTTATAAAGCATGGTCTTTGTGTAAACATGCCAGTTGGAGGGATGGCTGTGACCACTGGATATTTAGGGATAATAACTATGAAGCTGAATGAGTAGCTTCTGGCTGCAGTGTGTGCCTGCATGGTAATTCCAGCCCTGGCTGTGCTGCTACTATATTCAGCCCCTGGCCTCTCTCCTGAGTGGGCTCAGCGGCCTTCACAGGGCTGCTTATCACACAACCGCTGATCCCCTCCCCCCCCCCCCCCCCCCCCCCCTTTGGTCGACACAGCTGTCAGCATATAGGACACAGTTCATCAGAGCAGTTGGAAGTGGGGGAATGTGAGGCTGTAGGCATCCCAAGTGGTACTCAAAACCCCAGCACCCCCACCCCCAAAAAAATTAATAAAAGATTTTCATTCAAACTCACATTTTTGGAAGCCAGGAACTCCATGCCTTTGGCCACCTGGTAGGTGAAGCTGAGCAGGTCGGTGGTGCTGAGGCCCTCGTTCGAGTCGTCTGACAGCAGGTTGTCCCCCTCGCCCTCTGGTTTAGAAAACACACACACACACACCCACACACACACAACACCATGAGTATATGCTCATCATATATTGCAAATATAGCACTGGCTGCTCAAACCTGGCTTTTACTAATGGCAGGGAGAAACCGGGCATTATTATGTGTGTGCTGCAATTATCCTCTCTGTGTAATTGCAGGGCTGTACCAGCCCTAAAGTCTGACAAGGGTGTACCCCCTTCAACCAACACTGACTCAAACAAGGCACTAAAGCCAAAACAAGCACACGCCAATAACTGAGGGAAGAGTGAAAAGGAGGATCGAGAGAAGAGAGAGAACTGCGGCGCGTACCGCTGGAGCCTTTTTGCAGAGGGGGGCTGTCGTAGTTGGACCTCTGGATGTCTGAGTACTTGGAGGCATTGCTCATCTCCAGCATGGGCACATACTGAGTGTTGTCAGCCTGCTTCATGTCCATGTAGTCTCCTTTGCTCTCGAAGGACAGGATCACATAACTGCTTGCAAACACAAAAGAGGAATGCTGTTAGTGATGAGGTAATAGATGCACCTATGGTCTACCCACATTGTGTTATACATCTGTCTGAGTGTGTGTGTGTGTGTGTGTGTGTGTGTGTGTGTGTCCTTAAACTCCCTCTGGCTGAGGTTAGAGGAAGACGTGGTTGAGGCGTACACAGTAGCCAGGATTAAATCATGTTATGGTCATTTTGAGGTGCGGTCACTGTGAATCATCCATCAACACAGATGAGCCTCGGAGAGAGAGAGAGATGGGGTGGGGGTTGGGGGGGTTGTAGATTGAAAGCTGAGACCACTTCGGACTACAATTTGATTAGGTGAAGACACCAGACAATCTCCTCAACCACGGAGAAAATGGCGATAGAGTTACTGATTAGGGGCAGGGGGAGATTGAGAGTGTGTGCGGGCAAATTGTTGTATCGATGGCTGTGAAAACGGAGAAGTGTGTCGATGTGAAAGGTGCATTTAAATGCGTCCGTGTCTGAATCGCAAGGACAGTTCATGCACGTGTGGCAGGCTAAGAAACATAAACGTGGTACCTCCGGCTGCTCTCATCTGCAGGGTTGATCCCAAAGATATCCAGCTCCTTTTTATTTTTCTCTGGGTTCAGGCTCAGGAAGTTCTCCCTGTTCTTGTGCAGGTAGTTGACCAGGTCCCCGTAGAAGCAGTACTCTGTGATAATGTAGATAGGGCCTGGGAACAACACAGCAAAGAAGTGCATCGGCGTCAGTCTGCAGGCTAATCTTATCAGAGGCTCATAAAGGCTGAAAGCACAGTCAAGAGGGCAAGCCTCCACTTTCCCATAAAAAAGCTATTAAAATACCACACCCACCGAGAGCGGAGACAGGGCTGTCAATCTGTTTTGGCTTGCAGAGCTGTGAATGTCTCCAACTAACAAGTCTGAATAAGTGTATGTATGTGTTTGGCAGCATGAATGCGGGCGGTGTTGTACGTGTCTTTGTAAAGTGGTGGCTAAATTTTAAGAGAAAGGCAACAGTGGTTAAACTAAACTATGATTGAGTGTGTATCTTTATTGTTCTCCCACCTTGTGTGTGTATTATTCACCTGACTTGGTGCACGCTCCCAGGAGGTTGACGATGTTTAGATGAGGTCCGAGATGAGTCATAATCTTCAGTTCAGACATCAGAGCTTGTTTCTCACTGGAGCGTGCTGTGGCTGAAAAGAGGTACAGCAACCATGACTATCATCATCACACATTCAAACCAGCCAGCAGGCCAACCAGCCAACCAGGCCATGCATTCAGCCAACGCCACCTCCTTCATCTGAATTCAACAAGAAATCTCTTTATCTTGTTGTAAAAAAACAAACAAAAAACATCTGCCTTTTATTTACTCTTCTTTCTTTAGTATCTTCCTTTCCATCACTTTTTCCTTCTTCAGTGTCATTTTGCACCAGTTGAGTAAAAATATATCAAATCAGCTGTCAGGTGACATGTTGGTACACGTCACGTCTTTCAGTTTTTCTCAGTAACATGTAAGTATTAAATGGGTCAGCAGGCCTGATGTTGAACCACTGATTGATTTAATATTGCAGTGTTTTAGAGTCTTGTCAAGGTAATGTAGTGGTCTTCAAAGCATCACTTTTGTATGATTCCTAAATATATAATATATATAAATATATTTAAAGCTCCTCCAGTGTAAAGCTCTGTGTCCATGTGTAGTGTGATTATAGATCAGGTCTAGCTTCTATATTAATACTGTGAAAGTATCAAAGCCTCAGTCCACAGAGAAATGCACACAGCCTGTATTCAGAAACTGAGCCTTAAAACCAGCCGTCAGGACTTCTGGAACTTTGTGATGTCACAACAAAGCAGTCACAGTTCCTTGTTTACAGAAAAACAGCACTTTCACCTCATGCAGTATCTCTCCTTCTGCGCCTCCTCTGGGTCAATATAACAATACCTGCCTTCACCTAACCAGTCCCTATAACTAGTACTAAACTAGAACTAATACCTAGTGAGCTTCACTGGTATAAACAAACATGTCAGATGAATGGCAGCAACATCACTTTCATGTCTTTCATGTCAATTATTATCTGTTCAGCTCACGTTTCAGCATCTTCACTGCCACCTTCATGACGGGCTGGGAGCGGCTGAGTCCATAGGCGGTTCCCTCCACTACCTTCCCAAAGGCTCCAGAGCCCAGGATACGACCTGAGAAAGACAAGGAGACACAGGATCAGTTATCAAGGAGGAAAAACAAAGAACCTGCAAACACACACATGTGCACTTTAGATGCCTCTCCCTCTGTGACTCCTTCAGTGGCTGAATGTGCCCTTGATCACTGAGTCAAACCAATCCCCTGCTGCCCAAGCCAGATTAGTTTATCACAGCCTCACTTCAAAGACAGAGCGAGACATCCTGACTGGAACATCCCTGCAGGGAGTCTGCAGAGTCACCAGCACCAGACTCAAGGATTAGCACATTGAAAATGACAGTCAGCTCACCGAGCACAAGTCTGTCACGGGGGAACTCCCATCTGGAGTCGTAGGGAAGCTGCATGGGATCCACATAGATGTACTCGTGGCCGTCTGGGCTCACGGACTCGATGACCCTCCAGCGGATCTCATATCGTGGTTTCTGAAAGACAGAGGCCATGTGAAGAGCGGATTAATTAACCTTTGTCAAGTCCAAGCTGCTTGTTGGACTTGCTTATTGTGTGTCATATTTGGCTTTCTCGACCATAATCTGTTGTTTTAAAAAGTAATTTGCCCTTGGCTTTATAACAATCCACCTACAAATGTAGTTTTATTTCTTGGCTCAGAATACATTTGCTTAAAGCTCCTCCAGTGTAAAGGTCTGTGTCCATGTGTAGTGTGATTATAGATCAGCTCTAGCTTCTATATTAATACTGTGAAAGTATCAAAGCCTCAGTCCACAGAGAAATGCACACAGCCTGTATTCAGAAACTGAGCCTTAAAACCAGCCGTCAGGACTTCTGGAACTTTGTGATGTCACAACAAAGCAGTCACCAAGCCCCGCCCACCTGGACCCACCATCCAAACCTTTACAGGATTTGGTTTCTCTGAGTGTTTTTACCTGAAATCTGCTATATTTTTATTGGATCACTCAGAAAACAGTCAGCCAATCAGAAGAGAGGCCTCCTCTCTTCTGATTGGCTCACCAACATATCGTTACTAGAGCTCCAGAGAAAAGCCTGAGAGAGGAGATGTAAAACTACACTGAGATGGTTTCTGGTTCTTGAAACCACAAATATATCTTCTTCTTATGGATCAACACTTCAAATGAAACACAGAAGAAGAAAGAAATGTGGAGCTTTAACCAGTCAGAGCAGCAAACTAATCACAGTACTCAATAGACATTTTAAAATACACTTCAGCTCCTGTCACATGTTAGTATTTAATATAATCATGTTTAAGATTCATTTTTTGTGTTTTTCAACACTTTCAACACTGAATGCTGAAAAAGAAGGAATGAGTGAGTGAATGAGTGAGTGAGGTGAGACGTGAGAATAAATGCAGAGTGACTGCAGCAGTACCTGTTTCCAGACAACAACCAACACAATGAGTGAGATGATGACAATGACCAGCAGCACCAGCACAGCAGCAGCTACAGTCAGCTCAGGGTGAGGGCCTGTTCAGGAGGAGAGCCAGTGGTCACACATGTTAGATGGAGTGCATGTCAATCACATGGATACAACATGTGTCTGCTGTAATGACCAATGAAACGCTTTCTACGTGTTGCATGACAAACGTCCTCGTTCAGAGGAGACAGTTAAATCCGTAGGGTGTTCAGATTACTGGGCCCAAAAGGTATGCTGGGAAGATAAAATGGAGGTGGGGGTTGGGGGAGGAGACAAGGGGAAGTGGGTATTAGGGGTAGGGGGTGTAAAGCTCATCTGGAAGGACCAAATGGCCTCTGGCTTCCCTGTTAGAATAAGAGTCCCTTCCTCATAGCCCCTATCAGCTGTCTTACCACAAACTCATCATCTGACAGCTGCTGCCACACTGACAGCACTAACCCAACCCCCAGCACACACACACACACACACACACTCACTAACAAAGTCTGTCGCACTCTGAGTGTCAGAAACAGAAGGAGACAAAGTGGAAACAAAAACCTCAAATGTCAATTCAAAGCTGGGTTAAAAAAAAGGAAAGTTAGTTCAGAGCAAATGTGATGACGTATGTGTGTGTGTGTGTGTGTGTCTGTGTGTGTGTGTGTGTGTGTGTGTGTGTGTGTGTTCTTACCATTAGACACCAATTTGACCTCCCTGCTGACAGACGCCATTTCGTTCCTGGCCAAGCAGCGGACCGCCAGTGTATTTTCTAGGTGACCAAACAGGACCTGGCTCTCCAGGTTGTTATCCTCATCGATGTGGGAGTCCACTGAGATCTCGGTGGAGTTGGTGAGGAGGGGGGACCAGGAGGACGAGTCATTGGCACAACTGAAAGGGGAACAAAATAAAAGAGATATATAATCAATCAAAGTGTGGAGGGACTACATGTGTGTATATTGAGATGTGTGAAAGCAGATGACTGTTGTACTGAAGAAGACTTACTGTTTGATGTTCTTGCAGACAAACCACTCCACCACAGGAGTGGGCTGCCCTCTGGTAATGCACACCACAGCCTGGCCTGTGGCTGAGCCGTGGTGGATGTCCATCAGCTCCACAATGACTGCAGGCACTGTAAGCACAGAAAAGTGTGTGTAAATTAATGAGGAAAAAAAAATACTGTAGCTGGGTTCAAAGGCTACGTGCAGGCTAATGTGTTTTTGTTTTAAAAAGAAAAAACGATCTCCGTCCATACTATCACACCTGAAAACACAGATCACATGATGTACACTGCGCATGTGCGAGCCGGTGTAAACAGGAAGTAGGTCTTTCACCCTGCAGTTGGTTAGTTAGCAGAAAAACACAACGAGCAAGGGACAGCAAGGGCAGTTTTTAGGAGTTAAACTTCCTAAAACCAGAGATCGATCTTTTAATATACGTCTTTTACACTTCCCTGCGGATGTGTGAATCGGTTGCGAGATCTGGTCAGGTGAGCGTAGGGGTAGTGTCGCCAGAGCCACCGCGCGGGAGGACATTCCGCCATGTTTTTTTCCCCAATGTAATAAAATAAAATATCCACAGTTCGCAGAATCCGGTTGAAATGTATCTACATTTTTAAGGCTTGAATCGTGTCACGTAGAGAGCTAATAATAAAAATCGAAATGGTCAAAGTTTTCATGTTGACATTTTAGGTGTATCGAGTGAGTTAAGATTCCACCTTAAAAGATGGCGGCAGCTGTCTGTAGCCTCTGAGCTGCTCATTAAATCGTTAATAAGTAAAGAAAACATTCTTCCATTATCATTCACTCTTCTGACAGTTTTCTGACAGAGTTAGTCTGTTACACTTGGAGCCTAGCCTGTTAGCTAAATTACGTTTTCATAGCCTAGCCTGTTAGCTTAATTAGGTTTCCATAGCCTAGCCTGTTAGCTTAATTACGTTTTCATAGCCTAGCCTGTTGGCTAAATTACGTTTTCATAGCCTAGCCTGATAGCTTAATTACGTTTCCATAGCCTAGCCTGTTAGCTTAATTACGTTTTCACAGCCTAGTCTGTTGGCTAAATTACGTTTCCATAGCCTAGCCTGTTAGCTTAATTACGTTTTCATAGCCTAGCCTGTTAGCTAAATTACGTTTTCATAGCCTAGCCTGTTGGCTAAATTACGTTTTCACAGCCTAGTTTGTTGGCTAAATTACGTTTTCATAGCCTAGCTTATTAGCGTAGCTACGTTTTCATAGCCTAGCCTGTTAGCTCCACCTGACCTGCCTGTTCTGCAGCTTCTCCTCTGAATGGATGTTTCCGATGCGGCCTCATTTGCTTGATTCAAGTCAACGTATGTAAACATGTCACCACAGGTGCGCTCCGGTACGTAAATAAACAGCACTACACCTCTGCACGCGACAGACAAAAACATGACAGATGAGGCTAAAGGCAGATGTGTGGTTGAATTTCAGATTTAAGATCAATGGAGACAGTGAAGAGACTGAAGCAAAGCTACACGTGAGATGTGAAGATGAAGCCGTCAGTACCTGTTCATACAAAGTGTAGCTGGTGCACTGAGGTAAGATAACAACACACATTACATCTATTATTTCTTGAGATGTGTCTAAACTGTTGGTCATCTTAAATAGAAAGTGCATTAATGTAACTGCTTTGTGTCCATTTGTAATTAATGTAAAGCATAATGTTTTTAATAATGCACCAGGTTAGAGGAACACTCTACAGCATTAGTTTTCTGAGAATGTCATTCTTATCCAAGAGAAACTGATGTTGTAACTGAAATATCTCCGGCTGAATCATTATTGAATCAAATGGAATCAAATTGAATTGGGAAATCAGTGGCAATGTCCAGATCTATTTCCAAGGGTCTTCAGTTTTGCCCTTTCCAGACTAAAACGCGTTTAAAACAAGTTTACAAGCGGAAACGGGTCCAGCAGCGTTTCCAAAAGTGTGAAAAAACTCTGGAGTAATGTGAGCGCCATGGGTCTCGTTGCAAGAGAGATGGGTTTTTAAACTAAAACATAGTTGTGTGGACACAGCCTAAAAGACTGTGAGATCAGCATTAAAAGAAATAAAGGTAATGAAGGGCTTGGGGCATTCCTATTTCTGACCTTTGACCTCCAGGTTTAAACCAACGTCCTGAATTTGGTTTCCATTCTCCACACGCATGGTGTAGTTCCCGCTGTCCTCCTCTTTGGCCCGGATCAGGGTGAGAACACTCATGTAGCTGCACAGAACAATAAAAGCAGAAACTACAATAACCGCACGGTCACAGAAGTTCACACTGCACTGAAGCCTAATGACAGGCCCACCTGTGAGGGGGGAATGTTTCTCCCAGCTTGTCATTATCTCTGCTGTCATTACAGCGAGAGTCTCACCTGGTCTCGCTGAGCGGCCGGAGGCTGGTGGAGATCTCCGCTGTCACGTCGCCGAGTGGGTTTCCATCCTTGAGCCACGTGACACGAGCCGTGGGGAAGGAGCTGATTTCAGCCCTGAACTCACGGACCTCATCGAGCTCTGCTGACTCATACTCTCTGAACTGTGGCTGGATGGACATGAACTCACTCGCTGTCAGAAAAGAGAAAAAGGCCGAGAGACAATCAGAGATCATTCACCCTCACAGGAAAAAAAAAAGAGCCTTTGAAATACTGTTGCATGCTTTTTAGTGTTCGTAAACTAAATGCAGCTTTCATACCAAAAACATTAATAGCTAGATGCTTTGTCTGGTTCTCATTAGTAATAATATCAGTGATGGAGCAGGAGTAGATGCCGCTGTCTTTGGTTGAAGCCTGTGGGATCGTCAGGGTGTAGAGAATCTCCTGATCCCTCTTATTCTCATGCACCGTTTTCACGGCACGGTTGGCCTGTCAATCAAAAACACAACAGCTACTTTGAGTTTCAACCAAACACTCAGACACAGTGAACAACAGTAACTCATACTGTATACCCCTTATAGGTGATACATGATTATCACATACAGTATATACATCCTGTGGTTATATAAAGATAGAAGTTTATAACATATATTAAATACCAAGTAACATTTGTATATTAAAAATATCTATATGATGAATTTCTATATGGTATAACAATATATATATATATATGATTTATATATGCAAGCTAATTAACACAACATGCATATAAAAAGAATATATGTTTTTTTAATTAATTCCAAAATTCAAACGTGTGTCTTCACATTCTAGCAAAGTGGTCTCAGGCTTTTGGAACCCACTGTATATGATATCAACAGATATTAACAAGCTTTAAGATGGATTTATGTTTATGTAGCATGTGTTTAAAATATAAACATTCATACATAAATATACATATTTGTATGGGATAGATGTATATGTCAGGATATGACGTTTCATCTTCTGATAGGTTTCATAAATATTTTTACATGTTTTATTTCATATGTATAGTATATAGTATATGTACAGTCTGTTTGTGCTGTATAGGATGACTTGTGTTCTCACCAGTTTTCCAGGGTATTTCCAGTGGTCTTCCAGAATCTCTGACCCCCGAGCCAGACAGGTGACCGTGACGGTGTCCCCCACCAGCAGAGCGGTCCGCTTGGCCGTCAGCTCGACGTGCAGCCCAGCACCACCTGAGAAACGACAGATGACCAGGTAAAAATATCTGTGTCACGGTAGAAATCCACAGAGTTGAAAAGCACAAGGTCTCTTTATGAGTGAAGTTATAGACGCAGATTTTGTGAACACACACCTGTCCAGCCGTGGACGATGTATTCCTCGCTGTAGTGTTCCTCTCCGTTGATGAGGGCCTTACAAATGTAGGTTCCAGAAGTGAACACCCCCAAAGCCCCCCTCTTGCTGTCATAAACACTAGGCACGGGCTGCTGGGTGTCGACATTGATCAGGGTCACGTTAGCGCTGGGATCAGACACTCGACAGTGGATCTCCATCTCCTCGTGGCCGAACAGGACGTGGTTACCGAAAGGCACCGGCGATGGCACGAAGGGATTATCTGGATCTGAGTTGGAGACAAATAATAAATAAAAAAAAATAAGTTTCTCAGACCAGATAATGATGAAGTAAAGTCATAACAACACACCAGCACGAAGCCGCTGTGCACCGCATACCTGGCACATAGATGTAGATCCTGCTGTCCTCCGCCTCCTCGGTGGTGTTTTTGCTGTAGAAGCATGTGTAGTAGCCCGTGTGCATTGCTTCGGCGCTATCCACAGTGACGGTGGTGACAAACAGGCCGCTGTTGTCCTCCTGCGTCTGCTCGGGCACGTCGAGCGGCGTTTCCCAGGCCAGCTTCGCCTCTCCACGGCAGGTCAAGGTGAAAGGAGTGTGGAGCGGCACCACCATCTCATCCATCTGTGGCAGCAGCACAGGGGCCGAGGACGGGAGGAACATCACTGCAGTGGAGGCTGAAAGAAGCACATGTACACCACTCAGTCATAGATCGTCTATCTATCTATCTATCTATCTATCCATCCATCCATATATCCATCTATCTTACCTTTCACTGTGAGGATGAAGGAGAAGTGAGCGGTGCGGGAGCCGCTGGCGGCTGTAATGGTGTAATTCCCGTTGTCTTTCTCCAGAGGCTGCCGTAATGTCAGAATGCTCTGATACCTGTTGGAGGAAAATGTGTTTTTGTTATTTACGTGAATAATAAATATTCTTATTCACTCTTAGTATGAAGCTACAGCTAGCAGCCAGTTAGCTTAGTTTTCATAAAGATGCAGACAGCCTGACTGATAAACACACCTGCTCATCTGCAGCTCACTCATATTTAATTTATTTGATGTGAAAAACGCAAAATGTTGTGGTTTTACAGAGGGTCATGTGACAGACTATTAGTCCAGGAAGTAAACACTTCCAGCCTAGAAATAGTCCGACACACGTTGGACTGACATTTTTCTACTTCTGTTTTTGAATGGATTAAACAAAGAAGATATAAAGTGTTAATTAGTGAGTTTTCCAGGTATTGGTGGGTTTTGTGACCGTAGGGAGGCTCAGAGCCTCTTCTCCTCTGATTGGCTCATCGACCTGTTTTTACTAGAGCTCCAGAGAGAAGCCTGAGAGAGGAGATGTAAAACTACACTGAGATGGTTTTTATATCTTCTTATGGATCAACACTGTAAATGTGTAAAATAACGGACCTTTAAACTTATTAACTTCTGTCAGAAATGACTCTGAAAGACCTGATTCACTAAACTCTTAACAAATCACAGTCATTACTCTCACCGATTCCCTTCAATGCGGCTCGTCTTGGTGTGGGTGTAGTAGTTCCCGGTCATGGCTTTTCCATCTTTCAGCCATGTCACTTTGGGGGCCGGGTAGGCATTGATGAGAATAGTATACTCAGTCTCCTCCAAAAGGCTGACAGACTCCACCGCTAGAATCCCACTGTGGTCCAGAGCCACGAAGGAGTTCTCCTCTGAAGTAAGAGACAGAAGAAGAGACGAATGAGCCGGTGAAGGAACAGATTCAGAGAGACGGGACAGAGCGACAAGGACTGAGATGAAGTCAGAGTGACGGAGAGGCCCGAGGTGAAACGAAGGCCTGACACACACATCTGTTGAAGCCATCCCATAAAACACAGTAGCTGATGTTGAAAGCAGAGGTGAAGCTTTACAGTCGGACGGGAGGAGATGACTTCCCCACACCACTGAAAGCGCCTCATGCACACTCGTGAAACCAGCACTAATTTACCTGAGTGATGATGAGAATATTACATGTGGATTAAGTCAGTGGTGTGAGCACTTTCATATTATCACAGTTCTGCAGGAAACTCATTAACGGTGTCCAGGGAATGTTTGTGGGGGGGGGACTTACCGAAGACGGTGACGGCCACGCTGCCGACTCTGACCTCGCCGCTGATTTCTGATGTGATGGAGCACTCGTAGGTGCCGCTGTCCTGAGAGGTGGCTTGTGGGATACGCAGGGTGTAGATGACCCGGTCAGGAAGCGTGTGTTTCTTCTGAACTGCGTCCACAGCCTATAAGAGCAGAGGGACAGTATGGATTTAAGATCCTGGGGGTGGGTAATAGGATATTTGAATCTTTTAACTCTCAGTGTTTTTCCATTTTACAGGTACGTTGTTACTGTATCAGAGTCGCAGCAGCTGAAGGCAAATGGTTAAAACACTTGTGAGGCCGCAGCAGATAAATCAGGATCACAGAGCCTTTTAAAAGCCTGTAATTGCAGCTGAGACCAAAACCAGGAGTCGAGAGTCCTGCGTTCCTACCCTCACTGTCTCTGGAAAAGGCTTTAGAGGAATTCCATGAAAAAAAAAAAAACGACAACGTGCTCTATAGATTAAGAATCTGAACATACGTATAAACAAACATAAATTGTGCTTGAACCTCTTTCAGATTTTTGCAGTTAACACTTCAAAAGCATTAAATGTTTCTCTGGCCGTCGTGCAGACAGCATCTGTCCTGCACGTCTCAAGGTCACAGGGGTCAGAGGATTTACTATCTGTTCTGTCCCTCTCTTTTGAACCGCCTCCTTCCCTCTGGCCGTTTGGCCTGAACTTTAACTTCCACCTCGGCGTCTCTCGCCCGGGGTTAACTGCAGCAGGAGCAGTTTGGCCGCCCGTCCTCATAATGAAGACGTGACGTTCAGTTACTGCTTTCCTAACACATACTTTTTAACCACTAAGGGCCGTTCTCAGAGCTATATTCCACTTGCCACTGCTGGGTTTACATCCAAAACCATGATTTGCTAATTTAAGGCTCGGTGCTGCTGGGTAGGAAATGACATGGAAACATGACAAGGGGCTGAAGAAAATAGTGCGAGACGGGTGGGCAGATGAAGCCGTAGAAGAGGTGAAATTGAAATTGTAAAAACACAGAGAGGAAAGGAGGGTGGGGGGGGGGGTTCCTGCCTGTTTTTTAGGATGGAGCCACTGCTGCTGAAAGCCCGGCCCGGTGGGAGCGACGCAGGTGATGTTGAGAGGTTGTCCGGCTCTCACGCTCTCCTCGCTGGCTTTCACCTCCACGTCGAAATCCTCCTGCTCGACGGGGGCTGCAGAGGGACCAGCAGAGAGCAGATATCAGCACCGTCATCCCACAGGTCCCAAGACAGTGACAAGTTGATTAGAGTGAGCTCATTAATCATGGAGCAGTGGCTCAGTAGGTCGCCGTTACTCACACACACACACACACACACACACACACACACTCACACACACTCACACACAGAGTGAAAACAGGCGAGTTAAGTCATCCCCCCCTGTGATAGTGACATAACGTCATGGCTCATGCAGTGAGGTCACCCTGCAGCCTTCTCATGGTAAACACACCAGGGGAGTGTTTTCAGCTGTGCACTTCTTTCTCACGTTTAGAAAGAAATACACACGAGTAACTCGACTCTTTTCGCTCATGTCGTAGAGTGAAGACGTCTGTGTCGGCTCACCCTCTATCTTCACAGTATAGATATCACTTCTGGCCGTGCGGCCGTTCACGCCGGCGGTTTCGCACTGGTACTGCCCGGGAGCGAGGTGTCCGAAGAAGCCCATCTTGTTGTCGTAGTAGGCGGGCATCTCCTCTCCGCCGGGGACGCTCCTGAGGATGACGTCCGAGTGAGGGTGAGACACGCGGCAGGAGATGGGGACTCCGAGCGAGTCCATGGGCACCACCAAGTTTTCAGGGGTATCCGGAACAAATGCGGCCTCCGGGTCTGGGTGGAGAGGAGGAGTCGGGTCACACGGTGTAATTGCATTTGGGTTGGTTGGTTGATTTCAGAGATATTTCAGATTTTTTACTCTATGTTCTTTTGAAAACTTCAAGACTTTTTAAAAGAAGAAGTAACATGTTATTCCTCCTGCTAATGAGAGTTGACTGTAATGAGCTGTAACACAAACCCGTGCTGCCACAGCCTCACTGTGTCTGACATGGATGTTTGTATGTTTTAGCATTTTACTAATATCCCATAATCAGCTGCAGTGAAACCGTCTCACTCTAAAGTTCCACTGGCACCATGAGAAATAAAAACAATCATATTCACCTGGCACAAAGACATAAATTCCCGCCTCATTCTCTTCCTCTTCTTCCTCACTCTGCAGGTCGCCCTCCCGCCCTTCATAGACACACATGTAATAGCGGGTGTTTCCCACTGTTGCGTTGTAAACGAAGAGCGTCGACGTGAAGTATCCCGGAAGAACGAAGGTGTTTTCCGGCAGCGGCTCGGCCCAGACGACGCTCCTCTTCCCGGTGCAGCTGATGTTGAGGCCGGAGCCGGGTTGCAGGATGAACTCCTCCTGGTTGGACACGATGGTCGGTGGCGACAGTCCGCAGGTAACTGAGGAGACAGGAAACATTAGAGGAAGGAAGAGGGAAAAAAAAAACAACATTTGCTGATTATTTTTTACTCACCTGAAACCAGCGCCAACAGAACCCCCCCAAACACGACACACGTCCTCACCCCATCCATGACTATGGATGTTCAGGCCTGCAGAGACAGAGAGGCGAGTTATTTAGTCAACAAGTGAGGTAAAGTCTTTATTTTAGTCCGTCCTGATAAGATATGATACAACTGTCTCCACCTTTTATCACAACATAAGTATTTAATCAATAAATCAATTATTGACTTCTTGGTCTCCTGTCGAGCCGGAGGCCTGTTCTGTCCCGCTGAGGCTCGTGGAGCGATCTGGAGAATTTAACAGCAACTCTAATGTCTGGTGATCTCACACATCACTTATACAGCACGGACAGGACGGCTGGGTCAGGGGGGGGTGAGGGGTGACAGGCTGCTGTCCCGAGGGTCTGCCGGTAGAGGGCGACACACTCCACCTTTTGGAGTCACCCAGCCTCCTCGGGTCTCATCACCTACAGTTTTACCCGCTCGCTTTTCTAAAGTTTTTGTTTTCGTTCAACTGAAGGAAGAAAAAAAAAGAAAAACACTTTTTCTTGTTTTGATGGAGAGAAATTAGAAGTTTTGAGTCTAAATCCTGTTGAATGTTTTTGTTGCTGGACCAACACGCGGTCTGTTGAAAACGAATTATCTACAGGAGGTTTAATTAAGACATTTTGAAGTTTAGTCCAGACTCCTCATCACACAGATCCTCCCTCTGCTCTGCTGCTGGATCATTAACCCAGCAGTCATCTGCTCTGCACGGGTTATTTCATTTAAAATACTTGAATGTTTCATGTGCAACTCTTGGTTGTGTGTTTTTTATTTATTTGCTGTTTCTCAGACTGTGACCCCCCCCCCCACTGTGGAATCTCCAGTCTCTGTCTGTGTCTGTCCCCAAACAACAAAACTTGGCCCCTGCAAAGCTTCCTGTGGCTGTCCGCCTTTGGCTCATGCGAAGCGGGCTAAATGATCCGCGGGTAACCCGGGTTAGTTAACTCTGTCATTAGTGGACCCGCTCCACACAGAACTATATATTCGCGTGGGAATCAGCTGACAACACGCATAATCCGTTTTGACGTGTTTGTGCACACGCCTCGTCCCCAACAATTTCAATTTTTTTTTTCGTGCCCTGGTTGGAGAAGATCCTCCAGCCGCTGCGCGTAAATCTAACACAGGCTGAAGTGGCAGTCAGGACGGCCTTCATGTCCTGCTCCTCTTTTACCCCCTTCCCCATCCACCCACCAACCCACCAACCCCCCCCAGCTTGACAAATGTGGCAGATACCAAACGCATCTGGACGCATTTGAGCAACAGCTGATAAGGCTCGTCTCAACTTTCTGCAGGATGGTGCAACTCCGCGGCAAAAGCTTCTTTTCCAGGGACATGGTTGTGAAGAGTTGAGCATCAATGCAATTTAAAAAAAAAAAAAAAAGAAAAGAAAAAAGTTTGAGATTCTTTGTGTTTAATTATTTGAGCAGTTTTAAGAAGGCCTAGTATTCCTTTGCAATATCCCTTGGTGACCCAGCAGGGTGGGTGGTTAATGAAGAATGCGTCGTGGCTCCAAAACACACTCGGTTCTTCTTCCCCACCCCCTCTCTCTCTCTATTCATCTTTGAAATCCAGTTCAGACCTCTCTCCCAGCTGCAGATTTCACAATTTTAATTCACTCAATCTCCGCGAACAGAACGAAGAAAGACGAATGGCGAATGTACAATGTCATATGTGTTTTCCCATTAAAATGCCCAGCAGCTCTTCCCCGGAGCGGTGAAACGCCCCTTCAGATCCTGCGAGCTGACACCCTCCAGCTGGGAGGACGGGAAACCCAGCGCTTTTATCCAGCGGAGTCAGCGGCATCTTCTCTGCCCGGCGTCCAGGGTGTGGCGTGGGGGGTTGGTTTGGGGGGGAGAACAATATGGATATCATAGGGATACAGCCATCTAATCTAAAGTAGTTGTTTAATGCAGAAGTTGCACGTTCCTTTAGTGAATTAAACTTATTTAGAAACTTTTCCACAACCCTGATGTAAATTAAAAAGCGCGCGCTGTGATCTAATAATTGGTTAAACTAATTAAGAGCGCAATTAAAACTCCCACTAGACTTTCCAAAGGGAATGATTCCATCATAGATTCTTCACAAACAAAACACCCAAAACCTTTTTTTTTTTTTTTTTTTTTTAAAAAAATTAAACAAGACTAAAAAAAAAAAAAAAAAAACTCGTTTCCAGTCCTCTTTCATTTACCTCTGAATAATCCCCTCTTTATATTCCTCTGGTGTCAGTAATATCCACAGTGAATCGGGGGCTCAGAAGGGCGCAGTGCGGCTCTCTGCAGCGGCGCCTAATCCTCAGAGACTCCGCCGCTGTGAGAGCATATGTGCGCCCCTCTGTGTCGCGTCCACGACCCGCCCTCCAAACTGGCTCCGGCTACAGCGACCTGTAACTGATTCAATGTTACAGTCCTCCTCCTCCCCTCCTCCCCTCCCTCCTCCCCTCCCTCCTCCCGAAAAAAGTAATCATCTGGCTCAAAAGTAAATAACTCTCAGGAAATGACACCCTCCTCCCTCTCGTCTCTCTCACTTCCTCTCTCTCACTCTCTCTCTCTCCTTTCTAGACCCCTTTTCAAAGTAAGAGTCCTTTTTTCGTGCTGGAGGGGGGGGGTGCGGGGGGGGGGGGGTGCAGATGAATATTCCTGTTGAAATGAGATGTTTTTGATATTTTCATGGGGTTTTTATGCGATAGAAGAACGTTCGGAGAGAAACTCGAGGTCTGGTTTGTTTTTTGTGGAAGTTTGTTCGCTGTTTTCGCTTCCGTTCATTTCTCACAGAAGCTCTTCTTTAGTGGGCTGCGGTTGTTCCGGTGTCACCCTGGTGCAGGTGTTTTTCACCAGATCACAATAATAATAATAATAATAATGATTAAAAAAAAAAACAAAAAAACTTTTAGCTGCTTCCTTGGTGCTGATCCTGATCCTGATCCTGATCCTGATCCTGAGCATCAGTCAGAGTGGGAACAGTGGAGCGGTGATCTCATAGAGGGCGCTCTCAAACCATCATAATAATCACAGGCACATCCCCCACTCTTCTCTCTCTTCCTCTTCTCTCTCTCTCTCTTCCTCTTCTCTCCTCTCTCTCTGTCTCTCTCTCTCTCTCTCTCTTTCTCTCTCTCTCTCTCTAATGTTTTTTTTTAAATAAATGAACCGTCATAGTTCTTCGTAGTTTCTTCTTTTCTATAGAACAGAAAACGAATCACCCGTGTTTACTGGCACACGCGCGTGAGCTGTTTACCGAACCCCCCCCCCCACTTTTTATTTATATATTTATTTATTTATTTACCCAGCCCCCCCCCGCAGCACCCCACCCCTTTGTTACACTTTTACCCCGGGGGCTCTCCTGGCGGGCAACACAGATTGAATAATGGCCCTGTACGAATTACCTATCTGTGGGCACAGAAGAGGGGCATCAGACCGTGTCTGTTCATGGAGCAGAGCCCGGGGCTGATGCTCACCCCCCCCCCCCCCCCCAGCTCCAGCTTGGCGCAATTATTCCATGTTGCTGAAAAGAAAGTGTCCTTGTTCTCCAAACAAAGGATCTGAACTTCGGAAGGCCGAGCTTTCCTCACAGACCGGTCTGAGCCTCTGTCCTGCAGAATATAAAGGAAAAATATCCAAGTCACTGAAAGTTAAAAAAGCAAAACAACAACAACAACAACATTTTTGAACATAATAAATCGTGAACAAATCCTCCATCAGCTCAGTCTTCTCCACATCATCCTGCAGCTGAAACGTCAGGGAGGAGAGGACGGAGTTTGCTGAGTCAGCTGCTCTGCAGGAGAAGATGCTGCAGCCTCTCTGCTGGTGTCACCAGACAGGCTCCGTCACGTGTGTATGATGGAGGCATCGGAGACGGAGGAGGCGTGAGGACCGGAGAAACTAATGTCAGGATGATGATTTGCCCCTTACTCTTCTTCCCGCTGTTCCTGCTGTTCCCAGCCCTGTCTCGACTGTCCACAGGGGGCTTTGAAAAAAAACTGGAAAGTGGAGAGAAAACAAGTTTCTGCTGGAGGAAACTTATCAAACTGGGATGATGATTGAAGATGAATGATGATGAAGATGATGATGAATCGTGATGCGTTCCCTTTAAAACCCGGAACACACTCCTCCTGCACGGACTGTGTATCAGGCCTCAGTGCCACATGGTGGTTTATCTGTCCAGTGTCAGCACCCGAGGTCGAACCCGACAGTCACAACATCCTGATCTGCGGAGCGTCTACAGCCGCCGTGTTCAGTCAGTTCCACTCTCTCAGAGGTCAATGAGGCTGCAGGATGTGATTT